CTCCAGATAAATTTGAAAGAAGATTTTGGAATTAATTATATAGAATCCTTCCCATTGGAAAGTGCTTTGGTTCTTAATTAAAAAAAAAACCATAATAAGGTAAAATTTTAAAAACTGGACACCAGCAGGAACTAAAAGAAACTAAAGATTACAATTAAAGGAGAAGACCACTTAAACTGGACTTACTAATACAGAATGAAGCAAAATATTTTGACATTGGACATACTGAAGGATATTTTTAAACAATGGACCCAAAAGTTAATTTTAATAGTGTCTACCTTTATAGATAGACTGTGTCTAAAAGATGTTATTGAAGAGGAGCAAGTTCTATCTGACAAAATCGAGATTGAGTTGAAAGTGGATTTCTACAAGAATGGCAAGGAAAAAGATGTTACACTGGACATAGAAAAGAAACTGGCTGATGTCTTAATAATTAAAAGGGACATACAAACAACAAACCAAGAGTGTGATCTGGATAATTTTCCTATATTGGATTTACAAAAGAGACTTGTTAAAGTTTTGAATAATTTTGTGAGAAGAGACAAAGAAAAAATGAAAAGAGATCAAGTTCTATAATATTATTTGAAGGGACTGAAGATCAAGATTGTTAGAAGTAAAAGGAAGAAATATAATGTTGGTTTACTTGATCAAGGTTAAAATAGATATGTTGTTATCTCTGGTAACCCTTAATCAATTTTCACTGACATCACAACTGAAATGACAATGCTTTATGGATTTGTTTATAGAAAAGAGATGGGATATGGAAAGGAGATCATTTGTTGTATTTTAAGAGAAGGCAATAAGTTACTAAAATTGTTTATACTTATTGTGATGAAGGTGGGAAGTCACTTCTTTATATCTTTCTTTTCTTTACTATATTCTTATTTTTCTTTCTTTTCTATTTCTCCTCTTTTTATTTCTTTTCTGCACCTTCTACTCTTTCTTTTTATTTTTCTATCTTTTTTCTGTTTGTATTAATTTTTATTGTTGTAATTATAATCTTAAATTACTATATAAAAACTTTATTATCTTCTACATTCTATTTGGGATGACCTTTAGAAAAAATAGTGAAGAATTTCACTATATACACTCCCCTGCAAATCCTAAAAGAAAAAAAAATCCAATCTATCTTCATTTATAGGTTAATTTGCACCGAACAAATGTCTCCATAAACAAACAACAGTTAGCAAAACCATATGGGCGTTTGCCTACCGGGGTTATTAATGTTACACATTCCATCTGGAAGGATCCATTTGGAGAGACAATAAAGATCCAAGGTCACATTAAAACACAAAGTTGATTGCAGACAAGGTTCACCATGTATGGAGTTATGGTCATAAACCATTATAAATGACAGAAATGCATAATGCATTGTTCTCCTGTAACCAGAACACATGTAGCAAAAGTTAATTTCATTTTATTACAAATTGCTTTATTACAGCTCACAATCAAGGGAAGTAAGCAGTGGGGTCCCCTAAACTTCTGTTGGAACCTGAGTTATTGATTGTATTTGTAAATGATTTGGAGTCAAAGATGAGCAGAAGCCAATTTTATGGTGCCATCAAATTATTTAGAACAGTGGGAACTCAAGCAGACTTTGGAGAGCTTCAAAAGGATATCACCAAACTAAGTGACTGGGCAAAAACATAAATGTAAAATGTAAAAAGGTATACTTTGGGGGTAAGAGGAATAGCCATGGATCCATGGATCTGAACTGGCCATGGTTAATCAATAAAGAGATCTTGGGACAACCCACTTAAACTCTGCTTTGGATGGCAATGAAAGCCAGCTGGAGATTGTTGAGAGTATTAGGAAAGAAAGAATATGTAACAGCCAGTAGTGTAATGCTGTTTTATTAATGGTACAAGATTTGGGAGTTCTTAGAGATGGGAAACTTTTTTAAAGCCTTTCCTTGATGAAACTACAATAACTTTTTATATGTCAAATATCTACAGAATCCATTCATTCATTCATTCATTCATTCATTCATTCATTCATTCATTCATTTTTTTTTTTTTTTTACTACTGAAACAGCTAAGCAGTTTATGCCTTGGTGATATTTTGCCTGGACTATTGCAGTAGTTTGTTGACAGACCTTCCTACCCCTGCTTTCCATACCATTTCCCGTTCAGGTGTAAAATAGTGCAGTCCATGTGGTTCTGGATCTCTCCGGATGTACCCCTACTTGTTTCTGCCAATCCTCATACTGGCTGGGACTTCAGGAATGTTACTATTTTTAATTGGAGCTGACCTCCTAGGCTGTGCATACAAGAACACCCCATTATTTGAATAATGTTCCTGTGCCCCTTGGCTTGTCCATGCAATCAGGGTCACTTAGTTTTCCCTTGCCTCAGAACTGCCACTTCGCATTTTGATTCGTTGATTCAATTTATATCGCCACCCATCTCACCTGGGTGAGACACTGGGTGGCTTACATAATTAAAAAACAGCAACAACAATTAAAAATAAAAACAAAGTAAAAGCCATTAAAACCAATGAAAACCGTTAATTAGAACAATAAAGCTGATTTGCGGGAGAGTACAATAAATTATGAACAACGCAACCAACCAGCAGGCTCGATACCACCAATGGACCCCCAGGCATGATGCCAAAATCATGTTTTCAGAGCCTTCCGGAAGGGTCATGGGCAATCTAACTGCAGGGAGCTGATGTGCCAAAGGGTGGGTGCCGTAGCAGAGAGCACTCTCCTCCTGGGTCCCATCAGATGCTATTCCTTAATGGACATGCCTCTCCTGAACTTTTAGACATTTCTCCCATCTAACTACTACTTTCTGAAATCCATTTCCCATTGAATTATGTTTGGAATCCTGTTTCCAGAGATTTAAAATGCTTTTTTCAGGATCTTTACAAAATGGAGGGGTCTTTCTTTGCAGGGGCAGTATCTGATTGAAATTAGGGTGTTTCAAAATGATTATGTTGTTATACTGTTGCTACTGATCTATACTGTGCTACATCTCTATTGTATTGCATTTAAAAATAAGCAATATTAAATTAAAATACTACTGTGACCTGCTTATGGAATGTAGTTATATACAGTTGCAGCCGTCCCATCCCAGAAATTCATTGCAGAGCAAGGGAGGATGAAGGAAATCACAACCAAACTGATCAAAGCAACAAAGCATATTCCCTCTAAAGCTAGCATGCACATCCTTAGTAACCTTGTGCCCGTACCTTCTGTATTTCTTTTGATTTTTTCCTCTTAAAATATAGTTGATTTGCTTCCACTGAGCCTTCATCTCAAAGGTTAGACCTTTTAAATCACATATTTTTTCAATTAAATTGCTTTATGAATATCAAGTTGACTGAGTGAGAGAACATGGAGAGAGTTTCTCGGGGATGATCCACAGGAAGAAAAATAACCAGAAGTTCTCTATTCTGAGGAACGGAGTGCTCAGCTGTGAGGAGTGAATAACTGCTGACAGAAAGGAGTGTGTTCTGAGAGGGGCTGATTGCCCAGTGTGGGGGACTGAATGACTGCTTCCATTCAATAAGCAGAAACTGTAATAGAATTATAAGGTAGCCAGATTCTAAAGAGTAAGTTCAATACAGAAAGCGAACAGCAAGAGAATTCAAAGGGAAATCTCTAACTTTTCCCCCCCTTTACATCAAAGGTTTACACCTGGATAATCTGAGAAGAAGAAATAAATGCATTTCTAAAGTGAAAGGTGTCAGAAGCTGTCAAATCTGTCAAAAGTGAGCTGGTTGCTTTTGAAGGAAGATTGGAAGAAAGGTTCATAAAGATGAAAGAGGAGACGAAAGAAGATGTTACCAAAAAAAAAAAATATTGAAGAATCTAAAGGGTATCTTACGGGAGGAGTTAAACAACTTAATAACCAAGTGGAAATTTTAGAAAGTAAAATAGGAATAATAAATGGAGAAATGGAAAAGGAGTTATTAGACAATTTGGCATTATTGGAGTTGAGACAAAAAGAATTCTGCCTGAGATTTAGAGCAGTTCCAGAGGATCCTGGAGAAGACACTACAGAAAAGATTGCTCAGTCTCTAACACAGTTTTTGGAATGAGATGAAGATGGCCTGGAGGCAGAAACTGCAAGGCTATAGAATCAACACACAATTTGCAAAACTAAGAAATGTACCAAGGGATATTCTTGTGTACTTTGTCAGAAAGAAGACCAGAGATCAAGTTTTGCAGCAGTATTTCATCACTAGACTGAAGATAAATAATGCAGATGTGATTGTACTTAAAGAAATTCCAATTGGAATACCGCACAAATGAAAAGAGTAATTCTTTTTGACTGACAAGCTCAAACAGAAAAATATAACACTTTGATGGGATAAATTGGAAGGAGTGATCTTCACTTTTAAACAACAGAGATTCAGACTGAATTCAGTCCAAAAAGCAAGAGAATTTCTAGAAAAGTTTAAAGGGGAACTGGAAGAAATGCAAATGGAAGTGACAAAGGAACAAGAAACAAGAGGCAGAAGCTATCGTGCTAGGGGCTACAAGTGTTGAC